ATGGCATGATGCATCACGCACCCCGTCAACACAAGCTGTGTGCGGAAATCAAGACATGGTCCAAGTGCGGTCATCGTGCTGTAAGCATGCTGTTAGGGAAACTATCCACCAGCCCAGGCAGGAGTGGATACTACAAAGACACAGGACAGATGGGAAAGATGGGCAAGCCGTCCCTGATCCCACACTAAACCTCACTCAACCTCCTCAGCTCCACTTCCCCTGGTTGCTCCACTACTATTTGCTTAAGAACCCTAAAAGAATAAAAGATAAAAATAATCCCTATATTACCCTCATAAGGAAGAATATTTGTGTTTGTTGTGGGGGGGTTCTTAAGCAATGACTAGTCCAGGACCTGGCTTCTGCCGGCCTCGCCTCTCCCCGGCTCTTCCTCCCCGCCGAGCTCCTCCCGGCGCAGAAGGCTTCAGGGAGCGGGGCGCTTCGGGTTTTTTTGCAAAGCGCAAGCGCTTGGAATTTTGCAGTTTCAGAGATTTGGAGCGTCTGTATCGAATGAGAAGGATGATAAGGCGCCGAAGGCAAAAGAGGTTCGGCTCAGAGTTATCGCAAAGCGGTCTTTAGTTGAAGGTTTTTGGGGCGTGGGGTTCAGAGAGTTCGGCTGTTGTCTTGGAGGAAGCAAGCTTCAAGTTTGAGGCGCTTGCATCTGTAAATTATCACTGGCCGTACTGCAGACGGCTGGAATTGAGCAGGCGCTTGGCCGGTGGCTTGATTTCCGCGGAGTGATGATATGTTGAGTTTCTGCAGGCTATGGCATCCACAATCCAGAGCCTTTGGTCCTAAACTCTAAACCCTATAATCCTATAAGCCCTAAACCCTAAACCCTAAACCGCCACCCTCCAGTCCAGGTGGAGCCGCTGTGCGACGTGGCCTTCACCCACGGCGGCCAGGGTGCTATGGCTGCCTTTTAATCAGACCTGGACAGTCAAGAAGCCAAGAGTCTATGGCGGTTCCACAGGAGTCAACTTAAGAGCTGTACAGTAGCGGCTCAGTAGCGGCATCGCCTTGCAATGCTTTGTTCTTTCACACCTCTTTGTTAGCCCCCAAACCCTCTTCTGATTGAACACGCGAGGGTTACCTGCTTTGTGAAAATGACAGTGGGTGGTATTGCACCTGCTCTTCTTCAGCACTATGACTGGTTCTGAAACTAGGGTTTCAGGTGTTACTTGTTTGGGCGGTCGCACTTTGGGGCACCTGAAGGTACAGTTCAAACCAGCATGTGCTCCGGCGTACCTTTTCTGGGAGTCGGAATGATGCCCGAGCAGGACCTGTCGCTCATTTGTCACCTTCTGGAGGGTTGAAGCGTGACTCCTGACATTTCAGATATTCTCTCGGGGGCCGGTGGGGGTGGGGCCGTACGGAACTTTGGAAGAGTCTGGGTGTGTTGCAAACTCCAACGTCCTCGACACATTCTCAAGCACTCAGAGTGAAGGACATCAACGTCCGGCTGGCCGTTGACAAGGGCATGGCCAAGCAGGCTTTTCTAGCTGCTTGTATACCAACCGTAGGCTCCTTACCAGCCGCTTGCTCTTGAGCAACGACTGAATGCGGCCCTCGTAACTCCAGTCGGCTCGGGGCTGGGTGGCCCTAATAACCCCAGAGAGGCCATGAAGTATCAGACGCCAGTGGAGATTGTGGATCTTCTCCAGCAGGCCGGGGTTGGAGGTTTAGTTTATCAGGATCCAGGGCCTCGAGGGTGTTGTCGCTCATGACGCATGTGCCAGCTTGAAAGCTTCAGCCGGAGAATGACATTCAAGCCGGGTGTGCTTCGGGAGTCTTCTCACAGTCCAGTCTGCCCTATAAACATAGCAAAGGCCTCCAGCACGCCCCACTCTCCAGAAGTGAAGGACTTGATAAAGGGGATGCAAGACAGCGTCAGTCAACGCTTCGCTCCAAGTCATAAGGAGCAAACACTGTTAAGCTCATTGCGGGTTGTGGCTGCTCGCCTCGAGACATCCCTGGACCAGGTTGCGAGCTCCCAGGACATGCGAAAGCGAGCAGCAGTCATCAAGGAGGACAGACGTGTCATCGAGTTGAAGATTGAAGATTCAGATTCAGGATCGACTCTTCAACTCAACCGATGAACCTGCGATACTCCCAAGCACCGGGCCGCCGAACCACGGCCAAAGCCCAAGCAGTTCGAAGACCCGAAGACCTGTCGCCGGTTTCGCTTTCGCCTCATGAGCTCTCCGAAGGAGTGCCGCGAGTTTACCGGGGAGCCGCTTCGACTGAACACGGCGACAAGGGCAGACTAGAAAGGACTAGGAAAGGTGACAAGCCTTGGAGACTCTGCAACATGAATCATGAAGAGAAAGAGACAGAGAGAGCGCGAGAGAGAGAGAGAGAGAAAGACCCCTGAAGCCTTGAACCCACCACACGGAAAGCACAAAAGAGACGCGCGGCCAAGGCACGCTTTCGTCGAGTTTATCCGCGAGAAGGCAGCCCTGCCCCAGTGACCTTCGCAGCTCCTCAGCAGTAGGAGGGGCAGAGGGAAGATCTCCCGTTCATAAAGCCAGGGGACATTCGTGCCTGACATGGTCTGAGAAAGGGGCAGCTCTCGTCCCGAGAGAACTGCCACCCAGAAGACCTTGCCAGGGGCACAGAAGAACTTTGGTTTCTCTCGCCTTCAGATTTCTGCTGCCTGCCGCGGCAATCCTTGCTGTCTAGGGTTGTACGGTGGGAGCATGTTCCGAGGATCACGACGGTTTTGGGATGCAGGCTTCAAAAGGACTACCGAAGCTCTGGCTCTGTTTGTTGCAAGCACCGCAAGTCACTTCAAAGGTGCTGCTTCTGTCTTCCTAATCGTCAGATCTTTGGGACTTCAGCTTTAGGGTCTAGATTCTGGGCTCCGGAACACTTGACAGCTGGATCTCGCGCGGGCAGCGGAAGTAGATGAAGTCCGGGGGTGGCTTCGCTTTCTCTTCTGTGGCCTTAGTGGCCTTTCAGTCTTCCACAACTTTGCATCAGAGAACAAAGGGGGGGAGGTTCTCCGAATAGCTCACATTCTGTCGTCACCCACATGATGAGAGGGTGGATGTAGCTTCGATAGCCTCTGGCTTCGAGGGTTCCTGGTTCTAAGCGTAGCACTTCCAGTGAGAATTAGGGCGCACTGCTCTCTGAGGCTGACGGGTCCATGGGCCCGCATGCTCTTCTGGGCGTTAAGAGCTTTTCAAGAATCCACCTCCGGGTGCCTTTCAAACGCAGAGAGGTGTGAAAGTCTTAACAGGCTTTGCATCGGGCCTGCGGAGAAAGAAAGGGAAGGGTGCTGCATTGTCCGGACGCTGGCGTCGTGGGGTTTCGTGGCTTCAGGCTTTGCAACGATGTGCTCATCAAACTCTTGTTCGGCTTCTCTGCTGAGTGCGGTCATCTCCGGGGTATGTGCAATCAGCATTCTGGTGGACTGTGTTTCAGTTCACTCCATGGTATTCCGCTGGCCTTGTTCCAGAATCCTCCACCAACAAACAAGGTCAGACCTGAAGCAACACTTTCTGAGGCCCCGGCAACAAAGACAAACTCTGTGGAGCCACTGTTGCAGGTGCATTGACATGAAGACCGCCCACAGGATTGTTACAGCCACTGTCTCGGATCGACGATGTTCAGCCTGCAAGATTTTGGAGATACGTTGCAGCATCGCCGAAGGTCCCGGTGCAGTGCTTTTTGACACGGGGTCAAGAGAGACTTCAGGGCGAAATGTCTTAACCTGATGGGACTCGCCAAGGCCGTTTTCGGGAAAGCACATGGCCAACATTGTAACATGGAGTTGCTGGCATCGAACAACGCTGTCCTTCTTACAGAGTGCCACGCTGCGTCTGCTGGGCACTTGTGGCAACAGATGTTCCTTGACATTCACGGCACAAGACAGTCAGCACGTGCCAACACTTCGGTATCTGGAAGACCTTGCTAAGCCCTGCAATAGAAAAGAGTTTCAGTCTTGTACTTTTTAAGGTTGGCCGCGAGGGATCTTGGCGTGTTCTTCCCGTCATGCAAGAGTCACACAGCATTCCACGCCAAGCCCCGCAAAGGCAAAACTCAACATCCTTGCAAACGGAGAGTCCTCACCGTCCAGAACATACATGCAAAGCTGAACTTGTCCAGGCATCAAAAAACCTCAAGTCCCCTTGTTGATCCTTGCATGGCTGAGGCGCTCAACGAGAGCACCGGTGCTGCCTTCCCCTGGTGCCACCCCCAGCACGGCTGCTTTCCGAAGGCTTCTGTGTGTGTTGCACGGGTTTGGGGCCTCAACCCCTTCGTGATGTTTCGCTGCTCTTAACCGTTGCGGGGTCAAGGCAAGCACTGTAAGGTGGGCTTATGGTTGCGGGTGAGTCCGGCTCCCGGCTTAACAGCGGAAGTATCGTACTTCTCAGTGGCGACAAGACAATACAGGTTGTTCTACCAACTTTCGATGCATCCATGATCCTTCCAGAAAGGGGCAGATGAACATCTGGGCAGTAGTGGATTCAGCGCAGTTTGGGACGGAGGCCCGGGGGCTGTCTGGAATCTCTGAGGGCTTGGGGTTTACGGCCAGCATGCAGGCTTGGGCCTGGCTTGCTTGAAATGTCTAGGCGCATACCCTTCGGGATAGGCAGAACATATTTCCGAAAGTTGCACTGCTACTTCGGAAGTGAGCACCGGACCGCAAGGACTACAATGCAGAGGATGAAAGCAAGGAGAGGAAGACAATCGCTGCGGCCCAACGCTTCCCAGACCCAGAATTCTCCAGAAACACCTCAATATCCTCAATAAACTTTCTCTACAAGGTCAAATCTCTGAACACCAGGTGGGCATGGCTTTTCATTGGCCTCCTCGTGGCCGCGGGCGGCCTGCTTTGCTTGGCCTGCCTCTGCCTTGCCGGCGAGATTGTGCAGCAACGTCATGGATCCAGGACGAAGGATAGCGGTCGCAACAACTACTACCAGTATTTCCTTAGGGTCCCTTTAAGTATGCTATAAGAACCCCTAAAACCCTGTGCTAATTAATTATTCAGGCCCCGATATTCGCGCACTTTGGTGCATGTTACTTCGTGGCTTGGGCATGTCGCTCAGGGCTTCCCGTCGCACCTTTGAGATGCTGTCCTGGAACGTTTTTCAAATGCTTTCAACCACTTCGCTGAGGATTCAGCTTGTCGTTTGGACTCGAGGTTAGAGACTCCAGCGAACGGAGGTTAGAGACTCCAGCGTCTTGGGCATTCACGCAAAAACGAGGGTGTCATTCACTGGAGGACCCTAGATGAGGTAAGTGTAGCTTACTTCCGAATCTAGCACTTGCGCTTCGTTAGTCTGACTTGGGTACAAAAACCTCTCATGAAGTGACGGAGCCCCAAAAGATTTGCCAACACCTACTGTCGCCGAGAATCCCTCCAAGCGTCGCTGTAGAGAATGGAAATGTCTGCGCTGTTGATTGCCAGACATGCGGAATAAACCCTAAACCCTAAACCCTAAACCCTAGTTATTCTCCCTACAGATCTGGAACCTAGCTTCCGAGCTCAAGCTTCCCATGCTACCAGAATAAGCCCGGGAGACTCTTCAAACCCATAAAGAACCCTCAAAGGCCCTGAGGGCCCTAAAGCCCTCATAAGAGCTCCCAGGAAATTCGGTTCAAGAATTCTGGCGCCTCTCCATGGCCAGGCTGCACGCAGAACAAGAGTCGTTCCAAGAGGTCCAAGCGGCTGGACCAGGCCCCCTTTCTTCTTGGCACCCATTACCCTTGTTTTTTGGGTTTCGGGCTCCCCTGTGAAGCAACCAACCCAAGAAAGGGTGCCCTTTTTACAATATGGTTACTGGGCGAGATTCGGAGCTTGGCTCGGTTTGCGCGGCAGGAACGAACGACTGGCCTCAATGGGCACATCTAGGAGGACAGACCCTCGCAAGAGCTTCAACACGGAGCCTCGGCGTGCCTCGGGTTCAAGAAGCACAAACTGCAGCAAAGGCTTCAAAACCGCCCTCAAGGCCCCCAAAGGTGTCAAACCCCCCCTAACACCCTGCAACTCGTGAACGCGGGGAAAGTGCCTCGCGCCAACTTTGCAGCGCTTGTGCGCGCGCTCTGTGCAGTCCCGGGACATCGAGGTCGCCCGCGGTGCAGGGAGCTCAGAAGCGGGGCAAGAGGCCCTCTGCAGAGGCATTCCTATCGGCTGCTCTTTTGCGGGGGTTTCAGCTCAAGGGTTGCAAGGAGAAACACAACCGAGGTCTTCAAGGCCTAGGTTTGGGGGGGTTCAGGGCTTGCAGCGGAGAGAAGGACATCGTGCTGCGCATAGAGCAAACCATCACTCCCACGCCTCCCATGAAAAAGCGGGCTTGGACTCGGCCTGGACCTGAGAAGCCGAAGGCCCTGGAACACCAGACGCAATGAATGCTAGAACAGAATGAGCCTACCATCCGAAAGCGCTGCCAGAACTCCAGCAATCATACTCCCCGCAGTATCCTCCTAGACCCGAAATGGTTAGATGGGAACTGCACCTAAGCAACCCCATGAACTTACAACTGGTCGCTCCCGCTTTGTCAACATTCCTCTCTTCGAGCCCATGCAACACCGTTGTGGAAACATCTGTGCAAAAACTGCATGGTTCGTCCAGGCTATGCGCCTTGAAGCCAAATCCTGAAGACACCGAGGCCGCTGAGGCTCAGGTCCCCCTCACGGGAGCCGCCTACGCGGGCGCTGCGGGCCCCACCAGCCCGCAGGCCGCCGGCTACGCGGGAGCCGGCTATGCGGGCGCTGCGGGCCCCACCAGCCCGCAGTCGGCCGGCTACGCGGGAGCCGGCTACGCGGGCGCTGCATACCCCACCGGCCAGCAGGCGGGAGGGTTTGTGACTTCGAAATTTGCCTTTCGGGGTTTGGGCGCCTGCGGCTTAGGTCTTCGAGGTTGAGACTTAGGGGTCTTGGGAGTTTGGGGCTACGTGTTTAGGGTTTTGGGTGTGCCCGCATGGCGCATGGCATGAGTTGCAGCCTTTGGTGTCTATCAATAAGTCTCACAACGCGAAATCTAGATTCCAAGCCTTCAAGACGAAGAAGAGAACACAGCTCCTTGGCAGCTTCCCTCCTTGACCCTGCGGGAATCACGAGAGGACGATTCAGTCCCAAGTTCGAAACACAGTGGTGTCACATTTGCTTCGTGACCGCCGACCGCTGTCGCCAGCGCTTGAGGTCATCGCAAGACTGCTTCAAAGGGATGCCAGCAAAGAATCCACGTCGGTGCTTGCCAGGAGTTACTAGGTATGCCGCAATACCTTTCTGGTTCATCCTCGACTAGGCACATACCCCAATTTGGTGAAGTTCGTGAACCGTTGCACTGCAAGCTTCAAAACCCGCGTTGACAAAGCCTCTGACCCAAACACATTTTCATTTATGTATTGATGTGCGCAACATATATACATTCATCATTTAAGTATTTAAGTACTTATTATGTATTTATGTAGTAATTGTTTAATCGTGTAGAGAGGTATACGTCCATGTATATGTCTACTGCAGTATGAGGCGCGAGGGGCGAGCGGAGTACGAACGCACTAGACAACCACATGAACAGCCTTTGCGTATCTTTGTGCTCTGTGTTTGCTTGAGCTGATGTAGTGAGCGAATGCACGAGTGCCATCACAACAACAGCACGAAGCCTCGTCAAATGGTCTTGCACATCCACGCTCCATATGGCTCGCATAAGAGCCCTATAAAATGATGAGCTTTCTTGCAAAGGATTGTGCACGTATACGGAGCAAGCATACAGTGTCAGAACGTCGTGTAACAAAACGGTTTGTCGGCTGTAGGGTACCCCAAGGTTCTTAGTTTCCATTGCCCCATGAATGAGCTGGGTATGCTTGATTTCATATTTTTCTTCAGAGAGTAGGCCACTAGGCCAAATCCATATATGCAGGCATTCCCCAGCGGCCTGGCCCGAACCCATTCTGGAGGTTGAAGCCCACATTGACCTAAAAACCAGGCCCGCCCGAAGGACCCAACAAGTGGGGTCTGCAGGCATAGTTAAGAGATTGGCCCAAAACACCAGGATACCCTAAGCTTCTTAGCTAAGAGGTAACCCCAAATCGCCCAAAATCCCCATATCTAAGGCATCAGTTCATTGGAGTCGTTTCACTGCTGCGAAATGACTTCTGAAGTCACTTTTAAAAATTGAAATACAGAAGTGAGTTGCAGGGTTCCAGAGTCTTGCTTTGCATATCCCCTTTTCTGAAAATACCCATGAACAGATGGTGGCCGCTGCGCCCGCTGTGTCGGCAGCTCCTACCGTGTCGCCTGCCATGGGCTCAGATGGCATCACGAAGGGCCAGGGCCGAACTACCCGGGGCTCCGCCAGAAATCTTTCTGGCTCTATACTGGCGACCTGAGCTGTAGAGGGAACCGAGAAAGGGCCGTAGAGTCTTAGAGACTGAGGTGGATGAGTCAGGCTTTGAGATGTCTGTGCTCTGGAGCATGAAGGGATGAAAGACGATGGAAGCCAGCTTAGGCACTTGGACATCCAGGCTTTTGCCACTTAAGGGAACCCTGGGGGTTCTTGTTGAAATACCCTGAAAAGGACAGCATTCTCATTGGAGCTCATGCTACTTCGGGCTCAGCGGTGATCTGAAAGCCTCCTTTCGCACAGATGCCCCGACCCTTTTGGAGAGGGCTTGCCTTCGATTCCTCTTTGGGCGGCTTCTACCTCCAACGTGTGTGGCAAAAGAGTTGACTGAGTCAGCAAGAGGAGATCCACCCCAGTCCCAAACCGACGAGGTTGGAATTATGGAATCATGAAAGCAATGCGCGCTCCTAAACCACCACCGGACCCATACAACCCAAGAAGCCCCAAGAACAACGAGAGACATCTGCAGGCTTACAGGTCCGGAGCAATGGCGGCCGCGGCACCTCAGGCAAGATGTCGCAGCCCCCAACATCACCGAGGGCAAGGGGTGAGCAGTCACCTCACATCGCTTGTTCGATGAAGCTTCTTGTTCCTGAACAGTGCAGAAAGTGGGAGGATTGAAAAGTTGAACTCGTTCTGCATGACCTGCATCTGTTTGAGCTTCCCACCAAGGACCGTGCGGAACACGCGATGCACAGCACACCTGCAAAACCAACCAACAGCCATACTGTGCTATAGTGCTATCGCAACCACAGTGACCGTCCAAGCTGTTGGATACTTGCGTTGTGGCAGAAAGTGGCTGATGCGCAGGTTGCCTCCAATGTCAGCGTTGCGCCTGCTGTGCACCTGCCTACCATCACAGTCCCGGCACAGGCGCCCGGGGATCGGGATAAGAAGTTCGAGCAAACTCTTGCCGAAAATATGGACCATTGGTTTCGTCTGGTGACGCATGTTGTTTTTTCACCTCAGGTCACATACGCCTTAGATCCCCAATCTTCAAGCCTCCAAGCCACACCCCAAGACATCATCAACGCCACCCCGCCGTGCAATCAAAACCCCCAGAAGCCTTCTTACAGCTTCAGGGCTAAGGAGGGTTGCAGACCCTCAACCAGAACCTCCAAACTCCGATAAAAGAGTCCAGTCACAGGCCCAACCGAGCGCGAACTATTACGTCCCAGTACCGGCTGCACCACAAGTGGTCACAGGTGGGCGGGAAGGGAGGTACTGCTAAGCCCGAAAAGAGTGTCGGATTCTACGTGTACCTTCCCACAAGGCGCACGTAGAATCTCGGGGAGATTGTTTTGGGGGACTTAAGTTCTGGGGTTTTGGGTTGAACGGTTGAGGCACGTGCGCCCCACTGCAACACCATCCAACACCGTCCATTGCGCAACTTAAACAAAGAATGCCAGCAAGGGGCGAGAGGAGTTCGACGAAGTAGATACCAAGCTTGAAGCCCTCTACCAACCCCAGAAGTCTGCTGTCGTCCTGCACGGCCCTCCTCGAAACATCGCTGACCCAGAAAAGCGCAACCAGTCCTGAACTCTCTGCAATGACGATTTGCCCTCACCCAAGGCTCTAAACACAGCATGACAAGCAAAAAAAGCCTCGCTTGCAGGCATACCGCAGGAGCCCACCTACGTCCCATAGGCGACCGCTTCCCGGGCGTTTCCCGTTTCACTTGCATGTCGGTCTAGGGTTCAAGGGTCCACGGGTCCACCGGGTCCACCGGGTCTACTGGGTCTGCCGTTCGTGGGCTTGGTGTTCGGTTCTTCTTGTCCGAAGCCCGGGTGCGCCTTGGAGCGCTTAGGACTTATCCAACTCAGACGATTAACATTCGTTTTGCTTGGCACCTGTGCAGGCCGACAACATGCCCCCTGCAAACATGTGGTGCGCCCCCCTGAGCCCGGATTCATAGAAACATGCCCCCCATAAACGTGGGTTCGCGGGCCTGAACCCGGTTCTTGGATCAATCCCCAGAAGCTTCATGGGTGGCTAAAACTCGGGGTTTCGGATTGTTGGTTATAGTAGTATGCAGTAGTGACACCGCTTTGCATGCCCTAACTGGAGTTGTTCAGCAATATTGAGAAGGCAGATTTAGTACCACGAGCCTCCGATAAACTCCTGAACACTCGGCTTTTCAAACCTGAAGGAAGCTCCGTCCATGAAAACAGCAGAGACACGCAGGGCAGACCGTGCTGGAGCGCGCTGCGAAGCCAGCAGAAGCCAGCAGATGGGTGAGTCAAGACACGCATATCCAGTGCTTCCTAATCCAGGACATCCAGAAACATCCCGATCCCAAATCGTTCGCTATCGTTCACTCCCCACGCTCCTCACACTCCCTTTCTGCAAACTTGCCCCGTGAAAGCTGATGCAGCACTCCCCTAGAAGCCTCTCCACCCACCACTCACTGAAAGACTGGGAAGCCCTGGTCCCCCAAAGCAACATCTCTCTTTTGCGAAGCGGCTGAGACTCCACGAGCTCTCACGCAGCCAGTTAGAACACAGGAGGAACCTGAAAAGCTGAAAAGCTTGCAAAGCTTGATGTTGGAAGAGCCCTGGCCTGCGCCGATGCTTCAGCTTTTCCTGCATGTCATCCATGCCTGGGTGTTGGTTGCAGCATGGTTCTCAAATGTCAACTCCCCTGGCCTTTGTGGCAGGATTAAGGGTTAGATCGCTTGGCGTTGTCGGCTTTGGGGATTTAGAGCTTCGCATTCTTTACATCTGAAGCCTGAAGCCTGAAATCAGCCCTGGGCACCTCTCAACCTCGGGGACAAAAACAGCTCGTGAAGATCGAGATGGTGATCAGGCAAAATTGAGGTTTCGCATTTAAGGTCCAGAGCGGAGGCGAGGTTTATTCCATGTTTCGGGAGCATAGAGGCATGCATAGGTCAGCAATGTTAACTTGGTACGAATATGGGTTTTGTGTTTGGGTGGAGGAACGCCGTTCGTCAAGTCATTGTGCGTGTCTTTGAAGGGCTGCTCGCTCTGGAAGCAATAATCTTCTGGATGCTGCATTCGGCACTCTAAAAAACATCACGCGGCCTGCAACCCCCAGGGCCAGGCTTTGTCCCTATGCCGTGTTTTTGGGCGCAGATGTGGGAGCTCGTAGGTCCACTTAGAGCAAAGACAATGCGCTCATGGGCTCAGGGCTCGCTTGATGCGGGGTTGAGGGGTTGAGGGTTGAGGGGGCTTCAGTTTCGGGCTTGGCTGTCTTTGGCCTTTCAGCTTCCCCCGGCATGGGCCCCTGCTCACGTCGTTTCCCCCACGTGCCCATCGGGATAGCATTCCTCGCGTCAGCTTGCTGGGTTTCCTCACCACCTAGGCAAGGTGCCTAGCAAAAGTGTTTGTCGTTTCGGGTGTAGGGTTCAGGGCTGTTGCTCCAAAACAGTTTTTCATTGCCTTTCGAGCAGAGCAGCTGGCCCTCGAGATTCTGTTGACTGATTGCTGCTTGCGAGCAGCGTGAAACCACGATAAGCCCATGCCCTTGAATCTCCAGAATCCCTGAAACAGCAAAGCAAGATACAAATCTGCCTGCGCAATCTTCGGCACTGCTCGCTTCTCAGCTATAGTCAGCCCTGCCAGTCCAACAAAGCACGGACGGCACTGAAAAAAGCCGTGTTGCACAGTGTTTGCAGGGGTCTAGGGGCCATGAAAGAGGCTCAAGTCTAGGAACGAAACATGGATTGAGCCGCGTCAAGAAGCCCAAGTAGCGGACGACGGCGCCTTTGTTCACTTCTAGAAACCTCCAGAATCAGCCCCAAAATGGAAGAGAAGACACTCGCGCAACCCCCAGTGTCTAATAGCAATAGCAGTAGTACTAGCAATAGCAATAGTAATAATAGCAGTTTGTAGAAGCAGCAACAAGAATACGAACATTAGTACTGGTATTAGTGACGCAAATCCTATGAACAATAGCAGAAGTCGTAGTCGCCGCCGTCGCAGTCGTGAAAGTAGTGGTAGTAGCAGTAGCAGTAGCAGTAGCAGTAGCAGTAGCAGTAGCAGTAGCAGTAGCAGTAGCAGTAGCAGTAGCAGTAGCAGTAGCAGTAGCAGTAGTAGTAGTAGTAGTAGTAGTAGTAGTAGTAGTAGTAGTAGTAGTAGTAGTAGTAGTAGTAGTAGTAGTAGTAGTAGCAGCAGCAGCAGCAGGAGTAGTAGTAGTAGTAGTAGTAGTAGTAGTAGTAGTAGTAGTAGTAGTAGTAGTAGTAGTAGTAGAAGTAGTAGTAGAAGTAGTAGTAGTCGTAGTCGTAGTCGCAGTCGTAGTCGTAGTAGTAGATGATGATGTAGACGTACTGTAGTCGCAGTAGTACTGTGCTGGTACTACTGCAGTAGTAGTGCATCCAGTTTAGGGTGTTGACGGCTAGTAAACACCCTAAAACGGACGCACAGCCCGAAATCCCAAGTACCCGAAACTCTGCGCTGCTCAGAAGGCTAAATGCTCGTAGGGTATAAGGGTTGAGGGCTTCAATGTTTGCTGGATTTTGCTTCCGTTTTCGGGGGGAGCTACGGTCCCAGGGCTTCGGAGGGCTGTGTGGTCTTGCAGTTGCACGCAGCGCCAAACATGGGAGAACAGAAGATGCGCGGCATGTGCTGCAGTTTTTGGAGGCTTCGAGAGTACTGGAGCCTCTAGTCGAAGGCTGTCGACGGTGCAGATGTGTCATCGGATGTGCTGATGATCTCGACGGTTTGTGTGAAGGTGTTTGTTCCTCCGTTTCTGTTTTTCCCTGAATATCAATCCACCCCGAAAGGGACACGTTTGTCAGCTCCTCGTGGCCCAGTGGTGGCTCGGACATGATGGGACAGAGGATGCCACAAGCGCACTCGGGTGTTTGGGGTTCAGGTCTTAATAACGGTTTTCAGGTGCTCTTTTTCTCCATCTCTCTCTCTCTCTCTCTCTCTCTCTCTCTCTCTCTCTCTGCAACCAGCACTTCTTCACTTTCTTGACCTTCACACTTCACTCCGAGCACTCAACCCTTGACAACTCAACTTTCCTCAGCACCTCAACCTTCTCAAACGGAGACAAGCCTTCGGGATCGATAGTTGGAAGCTTAGGAGCTTGGGGGGGGGCGAAGGTTCTGACACATAGGTGTGCTACATACTACATCTAGATGTACGCAGGGCGCCACATTTAACCATCGCCGCCCATCGCTGGCGCACGCCGGCAGCACCTCGTGTGCTGGGCTGTGGACGATGTGGGGTCCCGAGGGACAACGTCGACAGAACAAGAGGGACCGAGAGAGAGAGAAAGAGAGAGAGAAAGAAAATAAAAGAGCCTTACCTTCGGGGGGAGCTACGCATGCAGGGGAGAGAGAGAGAGAAAGAGACAGAAAGAGAAAGGGAGATAACCCAGAAAGCCTATGGGGGGGGCCAATTCTCTGACAGCCCCCGAGCCCCTCTCAGAACCCCGCTTCCCCCCGTTGGCCAAGGCAGGGCGGCGGAGACCCATCGCTTCAAGGTGTCCCAGGCCCACTAGACTCAGTCCACTTCTCGGGTTTAGCAGAGCTTTCAGGGTTCCGGAACGACTCCGAACTTTGATGTTCGCATTGCCCGCATGAGCTGATGCCATGGTTTTTGGTGCTTTATAGAATCTTCTGGGGTTTCTGAGAGTTTTAGGGAACAGAAGAGTGGTTTAGATGCGAAGTCAGGAACGTAGCATGTGGTGCCCACGAAGGAGACTAAACTTTGCAATGAATCAGAGAAGTGCTGAACCCTGATAGCCTCGAATGTGCACATTCCTGAACTTTGGTCTCCAAACCCCTTGTGCCGCCTCAACCCTCCAAAACCACGGGCATCCACAAGCCTACGTGGCAGCGTCTTGAGCCCCACGCGTTACCAAACTCCACACCCCAACTGTAACAGGCTCAGCCCCCCCCCAACCCAACCCACCAAAACCCGAGTTGCCATACACCCTAGTAACCCGAGCACCTTCCCAGCAGGGTCGGGGCTCCTTGGTCTGGCTGGCGCGCTGGGAATGAAACCGCCAGCGCCAGAAGCCGAGAAAAGTTGTCGGAGGTTTGGTTGGAGGCGGGGGGAGGTTTGCGGTCCCGCAGCCTGAACTCAACAGCCTCATTCCAGAGAACCCGACAAAGTTTGAACCCAACAAAAGATCAACCACCAACGCATCGAAAACGGCCTCTATCCCGAATCGAGACAGTGAAAAGCAAGAGCCAAACACGCACCCCTTCACCCCTTTCACTCCTTTTTTCACTCCCGTTTTGTCGGGCCGAGTTCCCTCATGAAAATGATTTCGAAAGGCACAATGAGTTCCCCACCATTTTGTTCAAGGTTACTCTGGAACCTGGCCTCCTACACCCCTTGCCCCCGACTCGGACGCACCTTGACCCAGGTCCGGGCTCCCCGGCATGCCAGGAATGCCGGCCATGCCAGGCATGCCAGGAGGCGTTATGTTCATGGGGGGGGGGGGGGGGTTTTGGGGCGGAGGGAACAGGGAGGAGGGTTTGAGACTCTGGAGTCTGAGGGTTGGGGGATTGTAAGGGCGGGGGGGAAAGGGGTGGAGTTGATGTTTGCAGGGTTTGGGGGCTGTTGCGCGCCTGGATTTGGGAGGAGCTCTACACCCCCAGCAAACCTTTCGGAATCTTCGCAGGGGCACAGCTGCCGGCAGGCCAGATGCCAGGAATGCACCGGCCTCGGGCA